GCCTCTGCATGCAGGATTTTGAGCTAAATCCTGAGAATTATGCACTTTTTTTTTTTTTTTAAATGTGCATAATTAATGAAATGTGTTGGCCAAGAGAAAGGCTTAGAATCATGGAATTGTCTAGGTTGGAAGGGACCTTTGAGATCATCTAGTCCAACCATCAACCTAACCATCAACCACAGTCCATCCTAACCACCAACCTCCTTTTCTTTTAAAAAAAAGAGGAGAAAGATGATCAGGACGTTTGCCCTACATGGGAGATGCTGGTTCTGGCAGGAAAGGTCCCTCAAGGAGGTGGCCACTCTGATTTCTGTGGTCTGAGATGCCTTCTTCATTGCTTTCTTCTCCCGACGGAAGCGATTGGACTCATTCCCATGAGCCCTGGTGGTATTTGGGTCAGATACCTCATTTTCAGGAGATAATCATGAGGAAAAAAAGAAGTTCTGAGCTAGGCATCGTGCATTTAGGCACCGTCCTCTCTCTTCCCATCCAACGAAGCTTCCACCTGAGCGGTGGCCAACATCGCAGAGGTAGAACAGCCGTTAGCAGGACACAGATTGATGGTAGTAGGCACCGTCCTCTCTCTTCCCATCCAACGAAGCTTCCACCTGAGCGGTGGCCAACATCGCAGAGGTAGAACGGCCGTTAGTGGTTGATGGTAGCATCATGGAATCATTTAGGTTGGAAAAGACCCTTAAGACCCTTAGGGCCACCAATGTTTCAATAAACTGCGACATTTAATAACAAACAGCAAACTTTTGTTACTAAGTATCTTCCAGTCCTCAGCAGGAGGTGTTTATGTTCTTTATTGCCAGGTGCAGCCTCTTCCTAAATATTTTGGCCAACGCTAATGCCATTTTTTCAGTCGTTGCGAGGACTGAAAAATAATTTTATTTTTACTTTCAACTCTTTTTCTATAACATCTTTTCCATCTCTGGCTTCTCGACTGCACGCTGCGGTGCCAGAACGGGCAGTATAAATCTCACTTATTTCACTTTTCAGGCTTTTACTTATTTGGAGTCCAACTTTTTAGGCTTTTACTTATTCGGAGTCCTTTGACAGCAGCCAATAAAGACGGTCCCAAACAGAGACAGCTGGTATACAAGTGTGGTTGACAAGCATAAATAAATAAAATTAATTGAAATAGAAAGACCTTCTGCTTCTTTACAGCTTCGCTAAAAATGGATCGACTGCAGAGAAGCAGAAAAGAATTAAGAGCTGCTTTAATAAGCTGGGGAGGTCGTTTTCTCCTGGAAAATATTTTTTTTATTGGAAAAATGAGTTTTCAGTCAGGTTTTTTTCACTGGCCACACTGATTTTTTTATTTTTAAAGATTTTTTTTTTTTTTTTTTGGGAAATTTGAAGTCCCCCTGTTTTAAAAA